GTTTCAAAGCTGCTGCTTCTCTGCCCCCCAGGAGAGGAACAAACACAGCCCGAAAGCCCAGATAACCATAACCAACATTTGAAGTATGGACAAACTTCTAATTCACTCTTGGTAACTGGGTGCTTTGTAGCGTAAGCGTAAGGCAGCTAATGCAGAACTTCATCTGGGAACCAGTCACGCTTCCACAGCGCTGTCTGTCCCAGTGATTTAATTTTTGACTACTAATATGCTGGTTTGGTCAAAGATCAAAGCTCTTGTAAATTCCAGCTTTGCCTTTTTCTTTCTCTTTGCAGGAAGCAGGCAGGTCACTACTGCAGGGAAAAGGCAGGGACAGGCCGGCAGGAGTCAGCAGCAGACAAGACAACGGCTGCTGCTTTACCCAGCTGAGTACAGAAACTATTCACCATTCAATAAAAGGTCCACCATTCCCCCTGCCTGCAGGCAAGGGACCAGGGCATGGGGCAGAACACGTCGCAGTCTGGGTAAGAGAGCAAATGGCTAACAAGAGGGAGTGACTGCTCCTTAGCCAGTTTGAGCACTTGTAGAAAACAGGAGGAGCCCCTGATTTTCACACCAACATCCCACCCGCTGCCCCAGCGCGCCCTGGGGCTCCTCTGCCGAGGAAGCAAGGGGACTGCAGTGGCACGGTGGATGTCCCAAAGCCACACGAGACCTCTCCCCGCGCCCCGGCTGACGGTAACAAACGCCGGGCTCAGAGCAAGCAGGAAGCACGCCTGAGGGTGACTCTGCTCATATGAGGACCAAATCTCAGCCCCCTTCTTCACACTCCTTTCCAGCACAAACCACCCTTTCTCAAACACCATCCTCACGCTGGTGTCCTCCAGGTTTTGGCAGCTTCCACTGCTAGCTCATTCCACATCGCCTGGCACGCGAGGCAGCTCGCTGGGAGGAGAAGTCTGACAGCTGCGATTACATGACAAATAAACACTCCATTTCTCATTACAGGACCTCTCCAGCCCATTCCTCCTTCATTTTTCTTGTCAGCCCTGCTATTTTCCTGAACAGACCTGAAACTCTTCTCTGCTCCCAGCGCTTCTCTCTGCAAAACCCCCTTGAACTGTTTCTAAGTTCCAGCCTAGAGCTATTGCTAGGTAGTGCATGCCACCATTGAATAAAGGTTTCTCTGCCTCTCCACATTTTTTGAACACTCTTGTCTGTACAAAAAATGTTACCACAGCTCCCTGCTCCACTTGCTTCTCCAAACCCATCTTACCTCTCTCAACAACCCTCAATACCACAAACCTTCCTTCTTCCAGATATGTAGTGCATAGCCAGATGGATCAAACTTCCATTACGGCAGTGAGTCGATCGCATCTGGAGAGCATCTTCCAAAGAGCTAGCTCCAAACCTAAGCTGAGCTACTGCAAAGGAAAGTGAGGAGCTTCCACACACCAGTGAAAAACTGTTTGTTTTGTGAGTTACTAGCAGAAAATGTCCTACCTTTGAGTGCTGCGGTGTGGCGGGAGCCTTCGCACTAGCATCAAAGTCAGCCGACAGGGCGTCAATAGCTGCAGAGTCACTTGCAGGCTTCTGCAATAATTTTAGTTCTGAAGTCAGACCATATGCAATACTTCCACAGTCAAATTAATGTTTCAGGTATTTATGTCTGCGTTAATTACACCCTTTCTAAAAAAGCCCCATACCTGAGCTCTACACCTATGGGTGCAGAACAGAGATGTCTATTTGAAGTTTCCCAGATACACAATTTCTTTGAGGACTGGACGTGAACATTCACGGTGTAGTTGTGCACAAGCCCTGTACTTACTGGGAAGAGTCACTCTTTACAGAAGTTTGGCTGTCCAAACTGTTACTACTACCTGCTGCAGTCAGCAGCATTCCCGAGCATTTGCAATGCATCATGCCTTGAGCCTACACTCACGCTGCTTTGAAAAAAGAGATCGGAGCACACGGCGTGAAACAAACACAGGACAAAAATACCATAAATGTTACCTTTTCTTCTTTGTGCTTCACATCGTCCTTCGCTGTTGGCTTTACTGGTTTACCCTTGGGAAGAAGGAAGATTACATCCTCATTTTGAACTGGCCAGATTAGTTATAAGGTGCAAGTACTTAGATATGGCATTGTGAATTTACAGGTTACCAAGAAAGTTGAACCACTCTGAAACCAACTCTTTATTCCTCACGCTAGGTGTTCAAAGTCAGCTCACGATGTATTTTCAAGCTGTTACCTTCCCTACGTCTCCGATACCATCTTTCTGCCCTTGCACTCTACTGCAAAACCAGCCCCCCTGACCCAGAAGAGCTCAGGTCACTGTCAGAGCAGTCCCTCGCTCCAGGGAACGGCAGTTCCACAGGGCGTCAGGAACACCACCGAGGTAATGCCTGTGCATACACTGCCTCCAAACTTGGAACGAAACGGCTTGTGCTGAACAAGCCCTTACTGCCACAGCTCACAAGCATCTCCTGTTTAAAGGCAGGCTACAAAGCCGAGCTGTTTCAAGGGAGACACCCTATTTTTGCATCTGGTTTTCTGGAGCACCTGAACACTGAGCCAGCCTAACTGGAATCTGTACTGCTTAATCTCCACAATGTTGACTGCTACTAGGTGGTTCAAAGTGATTCATTTGTTCAGGTTGCCCAATTTAAAAAAAGAAAAAAACCCCTTTTTTTGTTGTGTTGATTAAATGCATGCAAGGATATACAGAGCTACTCTAAGTACAGTACATTTACATGCTTAAGCCTAATACGTAAATACCATACACACACTTAGTCACTTACTCAGTCTCCCTGGTCTCCCTGTAATGCCCAAGAGTGGCTCATGTGCACTAATTTCTGGTGTTGCAATAAGACAGCTAAATAAAAACCAACAAAGCGTTTCCTTACCTGCTCACCTGACTCCAGGAGTTTGAGATAGTCAGGTGGTATAGTATCATCTCTTTCCCCAAGTTTGTCTCTGTGCTCAGATTTAGCCTTTTCCTGAAAGCATTTAATTTTTTAACAACTTTAATACTTATGTCAGAAACAGTAGCAAACAGTAAGTCAGACTGCTCATTAAACTTAGGACAGCTGCCTTTTAGAACTTAAAATTTCAAAGCTACCAGAAAAAAACCCTTACATTTATTTCACTATGAAGTGTTTCATGCCTTAAAGTTTTACATTTACTAGCTCTCAGTAAGTGTATGCATTTATTAAGTTACACATATACATCCACTGCAGCATCCCAACATAAAACACAGTTATGTCAGCTTTTAGTTCAGCTTTTCAACAGTAGACTAAAAGGAGTCATTCCGTACTTCTGCATCAAATCCCATCCTTGTGCTGTAGCTTTAACACAAAACTGACATTCTTCCAATGTCTTACCCATGAATGCATCTGAGAACCCCCAGCAAAACCCAGGGCACACTGAAGCAGATCAGGAGTGGCCTACAGGGTGCTGGGCCATCTCCTCTAGACTCCGCTCTTGCCCAGAAAGGTGGGACCAGATGGTCCCTGAGGTCCCTTCCAATCTGGGATTCTAGGATTCTATGATAAACTTCTCATCAGACTTAGGAGCCAGAGTGAAGGGAGGCTGAAGGGTTAACAAAAGGACCTTTGTGAAGCCAACTGGAGATCCATCTTAAATTGCTAGCATTGTGTTTTAAATTACTAATCATATGAAGTAAACTATAGATAAGAAACTAACACTGTAGGGAGAGGAGAGATGAGTAGGAAATGGCCCATCTTTGTTACAGGCCTTGGAAGGCCTGTAGGAGAACAAAGCGTCCAGCACTTTGAGGATGGCCAATGTCGGAATGGGGCTAGCCAACGTTGGTATGGGGATAGCCAAGGCTGGGGAGCCGGTTGGTACCGGCTGTGCTGTTCTGACAGGGGAATAAGGGGGGTGGAAGCTGGAGGTCACCAAAAGGACAAGGTGAAGAAGAGGAGTGGATGAAGCAAACGACCCCTGAAGACCACCGACTCAAATCACTGAGCACGCGCAGTCGGGAGGGACTTATGGAAATGACCTCTGGAAACTAATGTTAATACGAAGCGGGGACAGGTTCTGCCTATGGATAGGGGCATTGGGCAACTTCATGTATAGGTAACACTTTGCTGCATATGAACGGGGCAAGCTGCCGCGTGGAGGTGCGCACGGCTTTGGTGGGACGGCCCCCGTGCTGCCCCGCGCTGAATCACCATACCGACTGTGCAGGCTGGCAGGTTGAGGAGGCTGTTTCTGCACGTCAAGAGTGAGTTTCAAATCCACCATTACTCGAAGGCAGACCACCACAAGCTCCTGAAAACAGCACCAAGGAGGGAAGCGTTCCTTCCACTATGTTTATTTATTTTTCAGTTGATGCTGCTTTGATTTCTGACAAACATACTAGAAACATGCCAAACCCAACACCTGCCTTAGATACACGTCGGCGTTTAAGCATATTGTTGAAGAATATTTTTGTGTTTGTTAGCACAGACATTTTAAGGAACTCTTCTTTTTGAAATTTTTTCATCTGGTGTAAGCATTTTCCACGCCTTTGCAAAGAACAACAGGCGAAGGAAGCTGGGCTCCTACAGCTCCAGTGAAGCGCAGGAGCTGCCAGGATCCCGCACATGAAGCATTCATTCCCTTCCTACGGCACGGCCGACGCTGCCCAGACCGCATAAACCCGTTCCTAAGGCAGCCAACCACCCCCACGCCGGAGCCCGCTCTGAGAGCAGACGTCTCCTTCTACATTCCAGCCTAAACTTATTCACGGGCAGCTTATGGCTTCTTTTTCCCCAGTAATATCCTTTAATTTAAGCACTTCAGTTTACAATTTACTATTATCACTACCACTCTGCAGGAATGTGTCTGATTTTCTTAACTAGCAGAAAGGTCTTTATACAATTAATAGGAAGGAAGACTGAATGAAAACAAAACAAGCAGGAAAAAGCAAGTTAAAAAATGGGACTGATTAAATGAGCACGTTCGTTGATGAACTTGGTATCTGTGGGATTATAGAAGTCAGAGTGACAAAAAGAAGGCCACAAATTCATTTTAGAAACAGAGGCCAGAGAAGACACCTGAAAAATAGTCAGAATAAATGACTATAAAAGGCACTGAAATATAATTATTGCAAATTTTCTGTTGTATTTCAACAGTTAACCTCCGACTGGCTAAAGTATATTAACTAATTCAACATTTTTCACAAAAACCACAAGTAATCCAGCTGATTGAAGAGTGCGTGCTTAGAAGCAAAAAACATCTAAGTGAACTGGTTGGTATGCCTACATGTAGGACAGCATAAGAGTATGCTGGTTTTTTCGAGTAACCTTACTCCTACATCGGAAAATCATATTCCATGTACTCCTAGGAGTAAGCAAGAAATATTACAGTGTACCATTAAAAAACCAATCTGTAACAAATAAGGTAATATGTATCTCAGTCTTTTGTTACCTTTACTTTATCCACAACTGGTTTGCCCTCATCAGGGTCGGGTTCCCTCTGTCCCAGGGAATCAGACAGGAGATCCAGGGCTTCATCCATCTCTTTTCCTCCCTAACGAAGTATAAACACATTTGTGACACGAATCAGCTGTAAAAATAGTAATTCATCAACCTAACATAAGTACTGACTAATGAACTGCCAACGCCAGTGAACAATGAACAATCACCTCTCCCTTTGTAATTACAATGTAGTGCAAAAGCTGACTAAATTATAATAAGCTGGGAAAAATAAAAATTTAAAAATTACAGAATATTTAGACCTACAGGAACATATTTTCAAGAAGGGCTTATGGAATTTATTTTAATGGGTTTTTTTGTTACACATAAGCCTAATTGATCTAATGAGAACAGTTCTATAAAAAGGTTGTTTCTTGGTAAGTGCTCTTCATTTTGCAAACACCATTATCACTGCAGACGAGCTGCTAAGGAAGTGTCAATCTCAATTAAAACTTACCAACATTTTATCTTCACAATACCTATGGCCTTTTGCTAACTGACACCAGTTTTATTCAAACACCGGTCAGGAAAAAAGCCCTTAAAACCAACTAAAACCCAGGTGGGAGGAGGAGGAGCTTTCTATCCCCCTTTCCAATCAGGCTGGAAACACTAGAGGGAGCTCCCACCGCACGCATCGAAACGGAGAAAGGCGGTGGCGTGCAACACCACCACTGAATGCAGCGAGGGGAAGCTCTCCTGGTATTAAGAGGAGGTCATGGGGCCGCCCATCCCTCCAGCTACCTTGAACCTTTTAGAGGCTTAACGGATGACTTCATCACGGTGGAAACGACTACGCTATTATTATTTTAAATGTTCTCATTACCTAACCAGGAGATGAAAGGTGTGGTTTGGCTGGAGGCCCAAGACTAAAAATGAAACCATTTGCACATTGGTCACCACCCGCACCGACCCACAGAAAGGCAACACACGCATGTGCTGATGCCCTCAGTAACTCTGGGGGAACCAGCACAGGACTGGGCACTTCCTCTCCCTCTCCCAAGCACGGGTGAGGAGGTTTCAAAGGCTGAAATACAACAGTGGGCAGGACTCGGACAAAATGGGCAGACCTATCTCTGCAGCCAGTTGAACATGAAGTGTCCAGCAACTCACACTTGTTCCCCAGAGGGAACATTCTCTTTCCCCCTAATAGCCAGTATTAGCAATGAATTCTTCAACTTTGCAACAGTCTGGTAAAATTGTCTGGATCATGCTGCCACCTCTCTTCACGAGCCAGTTCTTTGAGATAGAACAGAAGTCGAAATAGAACAGAATACTTCAGTTGGAAAAGACCTACAACTATCATCCAGCCCAACCAACCACCTTGAGCGCTTCAGGGCTGACCAAAGTTAGAGCACGTTACTAAGGGCGTTGTCCAAACGCCTCTGGAACACTGACAAGCTTGGGGCATCGACCCGCTCTCCAGGAAGCCTCTTCCAGGGTCTGGCCACGCTCCGGGTACGTAAACGTAGATCCTAGAGAAGGATCTACAGAAGAGGTTGCTTACTGAGGTAGGAGGCAGAGGAGCTGCTGAGTGCACTGAAGAAACTGTAGCAGCAGAGATAACGTCCGAGGAACCTGCAGGCTTTTTACCCTCCTTGGTTTTCTGAAACAAGACACAGCATCATTACTAACATGGAGGACTAAGACAAAAATACGCATCAAATTCCACAAATCTAAACCGCAATGCCCATACAGTTTATTTCTAGGAATTTATTTTTCTTAGAAGCTCTACTTATTTCAGGTTGAAACCCCTTCCTGAGAAGCACTGTACAGCTGTTTTGCATCTCTGTTCACGTTCAGTCTTCCATCTCAAGTACTGGGTTAAGCCCTGGCGCAGCTTAGGTCAGAGGCAGGTTTTATGTGACTTCAGAGCAGCTAAGGTTTCATCAAGCCCATCTATATTCCTGACTCTTTTTGAAGTCCCAACTGCAAAGCATTACTTAAGCAAGCAACTGATAAAAAGATATGACAACTAACTTACCTAGTTTTTGCTAATTATTGAAGTCCTGCTCTCTCTTCTCTTAATTGATTGCAAAAAATATTTAAATTTTTAATTTACTGAATTTTATTTAAGAAAGTTCACATAAACTTTAAAGGAAACAAATAAAATACCACAATTACTGAAGCAATTTGAAACCAAAACCATATTTTCAGAAATCAGATATACTCACCTTTATTACCGTTGGTGTAGGTAATGGTGCAGATGGGGATGGAGAACAGGAAAATCCTTCTGTCAAACCCTCTAAAAGATCATTTTCACTCATAGGCTATCATTAAAAAGGAAAAAGAAAAGAGGCTCTTAAGCCTTCTAATTTATTATAAAGTTATCAGGTAACACAGCCTATCCCCATTTTTAAACTGAAGACTGGGAAACCTTCCTGTCATTTGAGTAAGTCGTTCATGAATGAAACATTTATCTGAATATTCACTTTTTTAACTGAAGCTTTTCT